TCCGCATTCCTGATAGACAGGGACAACAGGAACCAGAGAGATGAATAAGAGGGGACTAGTGGTTAATTTCTTAGGAGAGTTTCATGAATGATCTCAGAAAGCAATTCACTTTAGCTATCCCTCATCCTCACTTTTCTCTGTAAAATGAAGTCGTTGGGCTTGCTTATCCCAAAGGTTCCTTCTGTATTCCAGAGTCCCTTCTTGCTCTGACATTCTAAGTTCTAAGGACCTTCCCAGTATGATAAAATATATGTTGTGTTCTACAGTCTCTTCCAACTCATATGGCCTAAGATCCTCTCTAGCTCTGAAGGTCCATATTCTAAGCTCTGCTAGCCTAATGTTCTTTGTTCTAAGAGCCTTTCTAATTACAACATTCCATTATTCACCTGTGACTCTCCTTTTCTGAGAAGACATGGGCGCCCATCTGGTCTCCTGATGCAACGATTTGCACTGGGGCCCCATTAATCTGCATTGACTTGCTGGTGGCAGGAGAAAACCTGGAGAACTTTCTTAAGTCTAGACGATCAACAAAATACTAACTTAGCCCATACTTGGTCTTGTTGGGCACCCAGGTAACTGAGTAAGCTATCCCTCCAGAGATGCCCAGCCTTGGGGTCAGAGACACATGGGCTTAAGTCCTGCCTCTGAAATATGCCAGCTACGTGACCACGGATGACAATTTAACATTCTGAGACTAGAAGTTAAACAGGAGTTACTCCCTCTAAATTAGTGTAGAAAGTTTCCACACAGAGAAGTCCAACCACTCTGATGAAATCAGAAGCCTAGATAGCAGGACCACCCTCCCTCCCCCAAATAAAAAAGGCATACTCATGCAGATAGAAAACAAGCACAAACCTTAACCCTCTCCTCCTTCTTGCCCTTTGTCAGGGTGCTTGATTAGAGGAGAAATTGGCTATGACCTGTTAGAGTCACAGTGGTTCCCAGGGCCTTCTCTAATGCCAGCTTCCTAAAATCTCACTGCTTGGTGCAGGAATCACAGGACAGGGAAAACCGAAGCTCATGTTGCTGGACTCTTGTGATTTGTGCTGGCTTCCCTAATCAGTGTGTGATCTCCTTGAGAGGAAAAACTACGTTGATTTTCCATTTGTATCCCTAGTGCTTAGCACAGTTCTTGACCCATAAGAAGTGCTTAATTAATGCTTTTTCTTTTATTCCTCCTACTTGAGTCAGTTGGCAGGTAACAGCTCCTACGGGGCTCAAACTATTTAAAAGTCTATTACAATTCTTAATGCGGCCCTCTAGAGAGATGCCAATTACCTTTCCAGGATGGGAGTTTCTTGACAATCGCTGTCAAAGGGACAGGCATTTGAGTATTATAACATTTGTTGCTCTCTCCCACTCCCCCTACTGGCATGCCTAAAGAGCCAGGCTTGGGCCAGAGATCTCTTTGGGGAGGCATCAAGATGGGCCTTCCCTTCAATGTTTCTTCCATAGCTTTTCTCTTTCAAGATGCCTCCCTCCTCCCTCAGCAGAGGATCGTAACAGATACTTCACTGAAAAAACCCCCAGAGACTGTTTGTTATGAATTTCTTCTCCCTGGCTTCATATTTCAAATCACCTCATCACTGCCTCTATTCCAGTCTGATGAAGAGGTGATCTTGCACCTTGTAGCTACTGATCCCTCTGTCTGTATCCCTGATCCCCTTCCCTCTCATCTCCTCTGGTAGCCTACCCCTGAGATTATCATCTCTTTCTCCCTAATATTCAGCCTCTCCTTGTCTACTAGCTCCTTAACTACTGCTTATAGACATGCCCAGATTTTCTCCCTCCTTAAAAACACCTTCGCGTGATCTGAGTCCCTGAAGTTATCATCCTGTACCTCTTCTTCCTTTCACGTTTTTTAACACCAGCTCCCTCTATTTTCTTATCTCAGTCTCTTCTTAGACCTTTGTAACCTGGCTTATGACCTCATCACTCAACTGAAATTGCTCTCTCCAGGGTTACCAATGAGCTCTTAATAGCCAAATCCTGTGGCCATTTCTCAGTCCTCATCCCTTCTGACCTCCGCAGCATTTAATACTGTTGCCCATCCCCTCCTCCTAGACTGCCTTCATTCTCCTGGCTTTTGGTTACCTTCTGGACTGTCTGGATGCTTCTTCCAGTCTTGTTTCTAGGATCATCATCCTTGTCCCACCTTCTTTACATAAGTCTCTCTCTCTCTCTCTCTCTCTCTCTCTCTCTCTCTCTCTCTCTCTCTCTCTCTCACACACACACACACACACACACACACACACACACACACCCACACACACTTTCTTGGTAGTCCCATCAGCTTGCACAGGTTCAGTGATTCCTTCCATACATATGACTTACAGATATATATGTCCAGACTCAATCTTTCCCTTAAACTCTAATCCCACATAACCAACTGCCTACTGGACATCTCTAACTGGATATCCCAGAGACATCTTAACCTCATTGTGTCCAAAGCAGAAGTCATTGTCTTTTCCTCCAATCTTATCCCTCCTCCCGACTTCTCTTTTTCACATGAGGATACCACCATACTTCTATAGAGTTTATTATCTTTTTTCTCAAACTCATCTGTCATCTTAATTTCTCTTCTTCTGTTAAGGACACCACCAGTCTTCTAGTCACTCAGGTGCATAACCTTGGAGTCATTCCTGACACTTCCCTCCCCTCCCCCATCCAATCAGTTGCCAAGATTTTTCAGGTCTACCTCCACGGTATATCTCTCATTCATCCCCTTCTCTCTTCTCACATGGTCAACCCCCTAGGTCAGGCCCTTATTACCTCTCCTCCAGACTATTATGAGAACTTTCTATTTGGCTTCCTAACTCATCTTATCTTTCTTTAATCCGTTCTCAATAAGGCTACCAAACTAATAGTTTTAAAGCACTGATCTGATCATGTCATTCTCTTGCTTCTAGGATGAAATACAAAATCATCTTTGGCTTTTAAAGGTCTTCATTCTATGGTACCAGGCTACCTTCCTAGCAATGCTACCTATTATTCTTTTTCACAGACACCACACTAGACTGTTAACCATTCCCCATACATGATGTTTTATCTCCTGTGTCCATGTCTTTTCACAGGCTAAGCACCATGCCTGGAACCTTTCCTTGGCTCCACCTCACAGAATTCCAAAGTTCCTTCAAAGCTCAGCTCATGTACCATTCCCTACAAGTGCCTAATACCTTACCACAAAGAGAGTCAGTCAGGTGTCTCAGCAGATAGACAGCTGGATTTGGAATCAGGAAGACCTGAATTCAAATACTAGGTTGTGATTTGGGGCAACCTCTTAACCTCTCTGTGCCTCAGTTTCCTCATCTCTAAAATGAGGTTCATAAGAGCACCTACCTCTCTGGGCTGTTGTGATGATCAAATGAATGCTATTTATAAAGTGCTTTGAAAACCAGACAGCATTATATAAATGCTAGTTACTATTTGCTTAGAAATTACTGTGTGTGTGTGTGTGTGTGTGTGTGTGTGCGTTAACCAGACCTGTGATTTTAATGTTACATACAAAGTGAGAAAAATCCTTTTACTAATGAAGATTAGGACCTTCTCTGCAACTTAGAATCTTATAGATTTGTCCACAGGACCAAGGTGTAAAGGGGCTTACCAGGGTCACAGTCAGTATTCAGCAAAGAAAAGACTTGAATCCAGGTCGTCTTTACTATGATGCCAGCTCTCCATCTATCACTAAATTTAGCCTCTCTCTTTGTGCCACACACACACACACACACACACACACACACACACACACACACACACACACACACACGTATATGCACACATTTACACACATGCATGTATGTATACATATATGTATGTATGTAGTTCTGTGAAAACCCTTTTTCGCCCCAGTTGAATGTGAGCTCATTGAAATCAAGGAGTGTTTTATTTTTCTCAGGTCCTATCATATAGTAGAAGCATAAGGAATACTTTTTGAATTTAATTACATTTTCTGAGAGGGAGTTTATCATTTCTGAAAAAAGTTCACTCCTCTCCTGGACAACTGTTTTCTGGAAGTTTCTTCCTTACATTAAGCCCAAATCCGCCCTTTTAGCGACTTAAACAATTGCCTTCCAGTTCTGCCCTCTAGGGCTAAGCAGAACAAGTTGAATACATGTTTCACACGACCATCTTTCAGATAGAGGCAGTGTGGTACAGAGGAAAGAGTTCTGGACTTGGAGGCCAATGACCTGGATTCAGGCACTGCTCTGACACTTGGTAGCTGAGTGACCTTTCAGCAAGGCTCTTGGATCTTCCAAGCCTCATTTTACTTAGCTGAAAGGGGTGGGGGAAGGGAGGGAGGGAAGGAGGTGAGGAGGGAAGGAAGGAGAAGGGAGGGAAGGAGTGGGGAGAAGGGAGGGAGGAAGAAAAGAGAGTTAAGACTAAATGATCTTTGTGATCCCTTCCAGCTTCCATGTTTCATTATTTGGGGAATTATTTGAAGACATTTCCCCCTTGTGTCTTCTCTTTTCTAGGAGAGTCCCCAGTTTCTTCACCTGATCCTCATTTGGCCTGGTTTTCAGTCTTCTTACCACCCTGGTTGTCTTACACTAGCCATAGTTAGTACCCTTCCACTCCTTCACTTTCTTCTCCCCCCTTCTCTCCCTTTCTTTTCCCCCTCCCCTGACTCTACCTCCACAATCAAACACAACACTAGTAGCAAAAGAAGGGGGCATCATGGTACAGTAGAAAGAGCCTGGCCCTAGAGTCAGAAGACCACCTGTGACACTTCCTGCCTGTGTGACCTTAGGTGAAGTGCATGGGCCTCAGTCTTCTGCTCTGTAAAATGAGGAGGCTGGCTTAGAGGGCCTCCGAGGATCCTTCCAGCCCTCGGTCTATGATTCTGAGAAAGGCAGCCACCACATGAATCAATGCATTTGGCATCTTTCCATCACTGGTCAGAAAGAGAAATCACGTCCAGAATACTGGACATTTTAAGATCAAAGACCAGAAGAGTGACAGACTTCCCACCCCAAAGGCTCAGGCAAAGGAGACCTGAGGCATTTCAGTTCCCTACCCGTAGCAAGTGTAAGGGAGAAGAGAGAAACTCTCCCATGGTTGCTTTATTTTGCCTTTGTGGGGCTACAGGAGAGAGACATATTGAGAAACAATCACAACAACTAGAGAAGCAAAAGAAAACAACAACCCCCCCCAACTACAACTTTAAAAAGCCAGAAAACACTAATGCAGAAGACCTGAGGGAAGAGAGACAACAGGTCTGCTTGCACGAATGTCACTGAACGTCAGACAGCCAAAAATCGTGCATGACATTTGGATGGTCTCTCGTGTTCCCCTTCGGACCGAAGCTTCTGTCGAGGCTGTGGCTGCTCCTGAAAATTGGGTTCGCTTTGTCTATTCACAGTTCCAGCCAGAATTGCTCCTCAGAATGTTTTCCAGGGAGATGGAGCCAGCCTGTGACTTTCTTGGAGGAAGTTAGCAGCCTCTGAAGATGAACAGAGCCCAAACTGTCCTCTGAAGGAGGAAGCAGTGCATGCCATTCTCATGAAGTGGAATCTGATCAGATCTTCCTCTGAAGAAGGAATCAGCAACCCGAGCTGCCCTTTGGTTTCGCTGGCCTCACAGCACAAACAACTGAGGACTCAAAGGACGTTTAGTCAGCAGGTGCTTTTTGCCACAGGAAGCAAAGAAAGAGCAGGCAGAGCCCTTTCCTGGTGTCTACCAGACCACAGGGAGTTTAGACTCCTTTCCGATGTCCTGGGCTGCCTGGGCATTCACGCCACATCGCCTCTTTGGTAGGCAAGTGTCCAACCCCCAGGACTCCCCCAATAGTTCTGGGGGCTCCTGATGCTTGGTCATCGGCTGTGACTCTCCGAACAGTGGGGAACCTTGATCGACTCTGGGGGATGGCTGGCCGCCAGATGCATTGTTTCGTTAGAGCGATGGTGTTCTCTCTCTCTCTCTTCCCTTAAAAAATGTCAAAAACAATTTTTAAGGAAAGTAAAAGGTTCTCTCTCTCTCTACCAGAAAAAGAAAAGCTATTACAAGCATAACAATCCCATCCCATTTGTATAATAATGAAAGCCTCACAATGATTATGCAAGCATTCCCAGTCCTAATAGCTCCCATTTTCATAGCCCTTTAAGGTAGCTAGTACAAGCATTATCTCCTATTTTTAAAAGAGTAAACTAAGGCTCAGAAACTCTTGACCTAGGTCACATAGTGCTTTACAGCTAGTTAACCAATGGTTTCTATAGCTTACCTGAAACCTGGCAGTGCTATACAGGGGGGTAGGATAGGGATTATTATCTCTACTTTGCTAAATGAGAACACTCCATGGGAGAAAGGACTAGCTGAAGGCCACACAGCGCCACTACCACAGCAGTGGGGTCATGACTCAAACCAGCTCTTTTGACAGCTGATTCAGCATTCTTTTCAAGTGCCCACACTGAACCTGATTAGGAATGAATACCCACCTTTGGGGCTTTTTGAAAAGTTGTGTGACTTTTCCATACAAGGCAGAGGGTGGTATCCACTTCCTAGAATCATAGAATTTTAGAGTTGGAAAAGACCTTAGAATATAGAACACAGATATTAGAGCTGGAAGAGACCTTAGAGGTCATCTGGTCCAACTTCCTTAAGTGGGCTATTCATAGATTTCTTCCACTAATGGTTTACTCTTGCTAGCTCATTTGTGGCATCAGACCCTAAGTCCACCAAACCCAGGGCTGGTACCCTCACCCTTTTGATGATATCTCTCTTCTCTTCCCATAAGCCTTTGGCCCTCAGGCCTGAACTGGGAAAGAAAAAGCCAGAGATCCAAACGTACCAACCAGCAGTTCTGTGCCCCTCACTAGAGGCACCTGCTCATAATTAATGGAAAGAGTGGGAGGGAGGGAGGCCAGTGTTAGAATGAATTAATAATTCTTCCCAAAGCTGTTCTGTCTAGTCTGTCACTACTCAGATCTTATATCCTTAGCATCTTACAATCTTCAAGCTGGATGGCAGTCATAGAATCTTATACCTTGAAGGATAACTAGAACGGTGGTGTCAATCTCAAATAGAAGTAGGGGGTCACTAGTCCATTTATAAAGGTCCCTACAGGCTGCGTATTGACTTAATTTTAAAATGTAATGTCATCTATGTTGTATTTTATTTTTTTATTTATTTTGTCAAGTATTTCCCAATGATATTTTAATCTGGTTAGGTAGCACGAGGGAGTGGCCTTTGACAATCCACCCCTGAACAAGAAACCTCTTTAAAACATTCACAACAAGTGGTTATCCAGCGTCTACAGGAAAATCTTTGATGGTGGGGACCTTGCCACTTCTTGAGGCAGCCCAGTCCACTTTTGGACGGTTCTTTTGGATATGGCACTATATGCTTACAAAGTACTTTATATTATCTCATGAGGTCTTGGCATTACCCCCTATCAGGTAGGTACTATGCTCCCAATCTTTCAAATGAGGAAACTGAGGCACAAAGTAAGAGAGTGATTTTGGTTATTTTGACCTATGAGTTTATTGATATAGGGAACTCCCAGATGAGGGAACTCTCTCTACCAATGCAGGTTACAACCTTTTGCGCAACTTATATTCTTAGAGAACTGCCACGAGGCAGAAGTGTCAAACACATGGTAGGCAGCATGCAACCTGAATCAGATTAAAATGTAATTGGTAAATATTTGATAAAATAAATAAAAATACAATAAGACATAGATAATAGGTACTTGTGTTTTTCTAAATCAACATGTGGTCAGCAGGGATCCATTTTGATTTGAGTTTAACATCACTGGCCTAGAGCACTGACAAAATGATTTGACAATCACTTGGCCGATATGTGTCAGAGTCAGGATTTGAACCCCAGGTTTTCCTTATTCTCAGGCCCATTGGGAGTAAATTCAAACAAATGCTATGTCTGAAAACGAAAACAAGCAAGAACCACCATGTAATACTGGAGGTTGGCTATTTACTAGAGAGATCATGGGACACGTGATCCTGGTAAACCTTGGGGACCTTCTAAACCTTAGCCTTCAGGCCTCCCTAAAAAGGAGGAATCAATTATGAACAAAAGAATGTCAAGGAACAATGTCAAGGAGCAAAGAATGACTAGGTGATCTTTGTCTTTGTACCCCGTTCCTAGCACAGCACCTGGCACACAGCAAATGCTTTATAAATACTTGTTGAATGAATAAAATGAATGAATGATGCAATAAATGCTTATTGCATTGGATTGATAATTAATGTGAAATTAGCTTCAAACTCAGTCATGGTAGCATGTGTATCATGAGGAAGCATGGCAGATGGGGAATAATGAACAAGGAAAGTTGAGCAAGTGATTGATTATTCAGTTCTCAGACAGCCTTGCCCCAGGCAGAAGGTCCTCTGACCAGCCAATACAAGCATTATCTTCTAATTGGCAGGGCCATCTAAGAGATGGGGGCATCAAACTGCCTTCACTTGATGGTACTCCTAGAATTCTAGACTCTTTGAGCTAGCTAAGACCTCAGAAGTCTTCTAATTCAAGATGTACATGAACAGGAATCCTTTCTACAGCATAATAATTCACATTTCTATGACATTTTAAGCTTTACAAAACACTTTCCTTACAATAACCCCATGAAGTAAGAAATGCCAGTGTTATTATTTCCATTTTATAGATGAGTAAATTGAGACTCAGAGAAGCAAAGTAATTTGTCAGGGTCACACAGCTAGCAAGTGTTTGGAGACAGGACCCAAACTCAGGTCTTTTCACTCCTAGTACAGTGCTCTGTACACCACGTCAGACTGCCTTTCACTACGTCACACTCCCCCGAAGTGATGATCCAGTCTTCCCTTCAAGTGTCCTACAGAAGCAGCTGCCCATTCCACTTTGGGACAGCTCAGAAGGATTGTTTGGAACAGTCTCCTCAATCAAGCTGAAATCTGCTTCCTGTTCACATGTCCCCTTTGCTCCTGGTTCTTCACTCTCTGAGGTCAAACAGAGCAAGTCTAATCTCTCTTGCCCCTGGGAGCCCCGTGGATAGCTGTGGCTGTTGTCATGTTGCCCTCCAAGGCTTTTCTTCTCCAGCCCATCATCACCTGATTCCTTCCACTTCCGTCCTAGTTGTCCTGATAAGCTCCAGTTTGTCAAGGTCTCTCCTGGAATGTGGTGCTCAGAATTGAGGATAATACTCTAGATGGGGATGTACCTCCTGGGATCATGGTTCCTCCACTAGTCTTTTGGAACATTCATCTACTTCTATAGCTTCAGTTGCTTATAACTTACTGCTCCACACCTCCATAATAATGATAACAGTCCGCATTTATATAGTGTATTAAGGTTTAGAAAGTTTCACATATATATACACATATATAAACACACACACATACATATATGTATATATATATATATATATATATATGTATGTCAATGTAAATTATATGTATGTAAAATCTCATTTGAGCCTCACAGCATGCCTGCTCAGCAGGTGCTATTATTATCCTCATTTGACAAATGAGGAAACTGGAACTAAGAGAATTTAAGTCACTTGTCCACGGCCATTCAGTGAATAACTTTTGGAGGCGTGACTTGAACTCAGGTCTTTTTGACTCCAAGTCCCTCACTCAAGCCAATATGCCAAATTGCCCCGGTATCTAGCCAAAGGAGCAGGTAGGTGATACAAAGGACAGTGGGGTGGCACAGTGGATAGAACACTGGACCTGGAATCAGGAAGACGTGAGTACAAATCTGGCCTCAGACATTACCAGCTGTGTGACCCTGGGCAACTCACTTAAACTCTGTTTACCTCAGTTTCCTCATCTGCAAAATAAGCTGGAGTAGGAAATGGCAAATCACTCTAGTATCTTTGCTAAGGAAACCTCAAAAAGGTCATGAAGAGTTGGATATAGCTGAAAACAACTAAACAAAAAATCTAGCCAAACTCTAACCCCTCACTTCCACCTGTCTACAAAATATCTTCACTTGGATATCCCATCACCTCTAATCCAATGTGCCTCCAAAATTAACTCAACATTTTCTCTCCCAAATTAACTTTTACATTTCCTTCAAAATGTCTTGAGGATTCACCCCTTCTAATCTTGCAAACAGCTACCACCCTCATCCAGGTCCTTACCACCTCCTCTCTAGACAACTGCAACGGCCTCTGGGCTGGGGATTCCTGACATTTTAAGTAGCATGGGTCCCTTGGGCAGTCTGGCAGAGCCTCTGGATGCTTTCTCAGGATAATGTTTAATTGCATAAAGTAAAATACGTACAATTACGAAAAACTGTCAAAATGCAGTTATTACCATTATTTTTTTTAACAAAAGGTTATGGGCCCTGGGTTAAAAACTCCTGCTCTAGTCATCTCCCTGACTCCAGTCTCGGCTTCTCTGGACCAATCTTCCTTTCATACTTTCCCATCATACCTCTGCACAAGAATACATAATGGCTCCTTGTATCAGTTACTATGTCATGCATTCATTCTTCTGTCATTCAAGGCCTTCCCTAATCTGTTCCTGCCTAAGTTATCTGAACTTACTGCTCAGGACCCCCCAGCATGAATTTTTTTCTCCAGTCTATGTGATTTCCTTAATATACCCAACTCCTGTCTCCCCTTGCTGTTATGCTTTTTCATGGCCTCAGTTCACATTTCTCTTGGCTGGCTGGGATGCAGTCCCTCCTCCTCTCTATCAGTCAAAATACTACTTATCACAAGGCTGGATGACTTCCTGTCCAGAATGTTGCTGAGAGGATTCCTATTCATGTAAGGCTGGATCAGATGCCCTCTTAGGTCCCTCCAGCTCTGATTTGGTGACTCTGTAATTCTTGAGCTAACTTAATCCTGCCTTCTCCAGGAAGTCTCCAGTGTGCGGTGATCTCTTCCCTTTCTGAATTCCTTTGGCACCTAGAATGCATACCCTAGAATCATGTATTCATTTCGTATACATAAGTTCCCAACTACACTATATGCTTTTCCAGGGATGGGGCTGAGCCTTCTACTTCTCTTGTGTCCATCTCCTTCCCCCCACCTTAGTGGCTGCCTTAGATTTGGGCACATAGGCAAAAAGGGACACAAGAGGACATCCAGTCCAACGCCCTCCATCTTACAGGGGAAGAAGCCAAGGCTGAGAGGGGCTACACGACTGGCCTGAAATCACACAGGCAGAGCCAGACTGAGATTCCAAGTCCAACAACTCCAGATCTAAGGCACTTGACACAGTCCTGCACTGTCCCCCTTCTTTTGTCTTGCTTAATTCTTGCTTGATTGGGTTTTCCTAGAGCCTGTCTCAGTTAGAATCAGAGAGGGGATAGACCATTAGTCCAGAAAAAGTCTTTCTTAAAGCAAAGAGCACAGAATGTCAGACCTAGGAAGGGACTTTGAAATCATCTACTCCAGGCCCTGCACCTTATAGATAGGAAGGACAAGTCCCTAAGAAAGCTGCTCCTGTTTGCAGTCTGTCCCAGACGTAGAACAAGAATTCAAACCTTTTGACTTCCAGTCCAACAAAGTAAGAACGGGTTGATTCATGAAATCATTCTTGAAACCTGCCAGATGAAGGCCAAGACTCAGAAAAAGATGTCCCACAAAGCATCAGGAGATACCACGAAGCTCATTCTTAGGCAGCACCTGTCGTCTGGAACCAAGAGGACCTTAGGGAGCACCAGAATCACCAATTTTTGGCCTTGAAGGGACACTCAAGAACCAGCAGGTCCAATTCCCCTTATCATACACATGGGAAAACCCAGGTCCGGATGGAAAGTGACTGATCCAAGGTTACTAGTAAGTTAATGATAGAACTGAGACTGAAACTCAGCTCCTCTGACTCCTTTGAGAGACAGTATCTGCCTCCTCCTCCTCCTCCTCCTCCTCCTCCTCCTCCTCCTCCTCCTCCTCCTGCTTTTTGTTCTTCTTACCCCTCAGCCTGCCCTTGGAGACTGGGTTGCTAAATGAAGGTGATGAGAAATAGGTATCAGAAAACACCTGATCCAGTCCCATTGAGTTGGGAAGAGGTCAGTTAGTCAAATTGGTGCCAAGGAAGATATTCACCGCACTGTTAATAGCCAGTATGTGGGGGTTTAATGTATTTGCTTTGGAAGGAAGTTGTGCCCCTTCTGTCTCTGGGAAGGGGGAGATGGTACATTCAACGCCCTGCCGCAATTCTATCCAGCGACTCTATAGTTGTGATGAGAAATGTTCCTTTGTGGAAAAAGTTGGGGGATTTTCCTCCCTTTCATAGGATTCTGTGGTGTAATGGATAAGGTGCTAGACTTAGAGTCAGGAAGACCTGGGTTTGAGTCGCTCTTCCTACAGCCAATAGTTGTGTGGCCTTACCTCAATTTCTTCATCTGTAAAATAAGAGGAAGTTGGACTTAATGGCCTCTTAGGTCCCTCCCAGACCTAAACCTGTGATCCTTTGAAAACCTGCAAGCTGAAAGGGACATTAGAGGTCATATAGTTCAACCCCCTCCCTATATACATTAGAAAACAAACCCACGAAAAGGAAGTGACTTACCCAAGGCCACACAGATAATAAGTAGAGAGCCAAGATTCAAACCTAGATGTTTTGACTCCAAATCCTATGATTTCTCTACTGCACCATGCTGCTTTTCTGAGTAGGCTGTGCCACCCTCGTCACTCACCTTAGCACATGCGTGGACCCATTGACGGTAGTGGTAGAACAGGGAACTGTCTGACCCAGGATAGAAGGTCTCCGATAACGTTCCTCATCACAGCACAGAATGATGAGGAAAGCTCGACGAAATGCCTTGTTCAGGAAAGCATAGAGAAAAGGGTTGAGGCCTGAGTTAATGTAGCCAAGCCAAAGGAAGGTGGTCCAAAGCTGGGCAGGGACGCTATAGCCCACAAAAGGGTCGATGATGTTGGTGACAAAAAATGGGGCCCAGCAGAGGCAGAAGCAGCCCATGATGATGCACAGGGTCTTGGCGGCCTTGGTCTCTGTCTTCATGCGATGATGAGTGCTGTGTTGATCGGGGGGCTCTCGGCGACCCTCTGTGGGAGCGCCGGCCCTCTGCAGGACCCGGATCTGGAGGGCATGCTCCTTGGCAGTGACGTAGATGCGGTAGTAGGCCAAGACCATCAGAATAAAAGGGATGTAGAAGGCCACCACAGAGCATGTGATGGCATAGGGCTTGTTGACCATGAAGATGCAGTAGGTGGAGTTCGAGTCCTGGTCAAACTGTCTCTTCTCTATCTGGAAGAAGGGAACAGAAAAGATGGGTTTGCCATTACAACTTTGGGAAGAAAATAACACGTGGTGCCTGGGTATTTGACTGTAGATTCAGTGTGGTGAATAGTAACATTGGACTTAGAGTCAGAAGACTTGGTTCAACTCCCAGCTCTGACACTTCACAGCTACTTGACTGGAGTAAGGAATTTCACCTCCCTGGGCCTCAGTTTCCTCATCTATACAATGAGCAGGTTGGACTAGAGGCTATCCGAGCCCTTTACACCTCTAAATGCTATAATCTGTGATTGCTGTTTCTTCATATCTAAGGTTAGAAGAGGCAACCAAGGTCTCAGGAGACTTCACGGAGGCTCAGCCTCATGTTTTATATCATCCAAGTCACAATACTAAAGAAAAGCTTGACAGCATCACAGAAAGAGCCCGGAATTAAGAGCCAAGAAACCCAAACTCTCTTTTCCAGCTTGGCCATCATCTCCTGTGACCTTGAGCAAGCAATTTCCCCTCTCTAAATCCCAGTTTTCCAGTGCATAAAATGGGAATGTCAGCGTATAAGCATTCTTACTTCAAAGGCAGCCGGTGGCACCGTGGCTAGATTACTGGGCGTGGAATTAGGAAGACCTGAATTCAAATATGGCCTCAGTCACTTGGTAGCTGTGTGGTCCTGGGCAAGTCACTTAATCTCTTTTGCCTCAGTCTCCTCAACTATAAAATGGGGATAATAATAGCACCTCGCAGAATTGTTGAAAGGATCAAATGAGATATTTGTAAAAGGACTTAGAACAGTGCCTGGCACATAATAGATACCATATAAATGTTTGTTCCCTTTCCTTCTCCCTTCCCTCAAAAGAGCTGTGAAGATCAAATGAGAAAATGGATGTAAACTGTTGGCTAACCATAAATTATTTTATAAATGTGAGCTGTTATTATTGATATTATTATTGTCATCTGCCCACAAATTTTCCTCTGAAGCCTCACTCTGGTGTGGCATTGACCCTAGGCTCTTGAAGACCAAGTCAGCAGAGCGCAATCCCTGGAATGCCTCATTATAGACAGACTTTGAGCATTGGCCTGGCAAAGAGCTGGATGATGGTCATTTGAAGACCAACCAGAGTATAGAAAGACTTCCTCTTAGAAAGCTGGTCACCAGGAACAAGTCCTTTGGGTCATAATAATTCATGAAAAATATATAAGATAGAAGGGATCAGAATGTGGGTTTGTAGGAGTGCTCACACTAGTAAAATCACAGCTCCTTGAAAGCATTAAAGCATTAATATTTTCTTCAAAATTGTGCAAGGAGGTCATTTCATGGGAAACGGGTTCCCAATGGCTATTAAGCACCTTGATGATGGGTTACATGCAGGACTTGGAAAGTCATTTACTCTTTTTTCATTTTGAACTCCAGATAGGAAAGAATCAGGGTGCAAATAGACTGTGGCAGGCTATAATGAATCACATTCATTAAGATAGGATTTAATACAGAAGAGTGTGAAGCCATACTACTGAGTTTAAAAGAATGACAACAATCACCACTAGGATAGGATTGGGGACAATATGGCTAAACACCACTTTCTGTGAAAAGGACCTTCCAGTCTTTGTAGATTACAGACTTAAAAAGTGAGTCACTAGCACGGTATGGCAGCTGTGGATGTTAATGTAATCTCAGGCTGCGTTGAGCTGATGTTCAGAATGAGGGAAGTGATAGTCAGTGGTGCGATCTGGCCAGACTGCAGCTGAAGCTCTGAGTATCACTTCCAGATACCACACTTTATGAAGGACAACAATAAACTGGAGCTCATCTAGAGGGCGGAAGCATTGGGCAACTCAGCCATATGTGCATCAGTTGATAGAACCACGGCCATTTAGCCTAGAGAAGGGAGTGTTTTGGTAACATTTGCTCCCTGTCTTTCAGTATATTAAGGTGTGTCATATAGAAGAGGGATTAGACTCATTCTATTTGGCCTCAGAGGGAAAAACTAGGAGAAAAGGACAAAAATTGGCCAGAAAGAGATTTTGATTTTATATAAAATAAATCTTATTATTAGAGCCATCCTCCAATGGTGGAATGGACAACTTCCAGATTTAGTAAATTCTGTCACTGGGAGGTTTCAAGTGGAAGTTGGATGACCTCTTTTCAGGGATGTCACCGAGGATCCTTGTTAGGTGATGGGTTGGGCTCAATGTCCTCCGAGGTCCCTTCTCATTTGGAATCCCTGCACTCTATTTTAGGGTTTTTTGGAGAGCATTCCCTCTTGCATGCCTCAAGAGGTGAGAGTTTGGAGATGCGAGGATTAGAAACTAAGCATCAGTTGGTGGGCTACAGGCAGGGGTTTGTTTTTCTGTTTGTTTGTTTGTTTGCCGTTCTTTGTATCTCCAGTACTTTGCTTAGTGCCTGGGACATAGTAGGCACTTTCTGACCTGATTTGAAAAGTCTTTCTTAGAAAAGCGTCAAGGAGTTCTGTGTTTGACTTGAAATCTATCAACCCACAACTAATGTGTGACCACTTCTCTCGCTAACAAAGAGATTCTGTTGATGGATTCTGAACATCACAGTAAGTATATCTAAAAATCCCTAAAACGTTAGAGCTGCAGGGTCCTAGAATATAGAATACAGAATGTCAGAACTGGAGAAGACTTTCAAATAGAGAATATCAGAGGTGAAAAGGGTTTTAAAACATATAACACAGAAGACTAAAGAAGAAAGGGATCTTAGTGGCTGTAGAATCCGATCCCCTTATTTTACATCCCAAGATGAGGATTTGGGAGGCTGGCTGGATGGCATGGAGCACCAGCCCTGGAGTCAGGAGGACCTGAGTTCAAATCTGGACACACACACTTACTAGTTATGTGACCCTGGGCAAACCACACAGTGAGAAGATGGGACTTATTGGAAAAGATCCTGATGTTGGGAAAGATTGAAGGCTAAAGGAAAACAGGATGGCAGAGGATGAGATGGATAGATAGTATCATGGAAACAATGAACATGAATTTGGCCAGACTTCGAGAGATAGTGAAGGATAGAAGGGCCTAACATGCTATATGGTCCATGGGGTTGCAAAGAGTTGGACACAACTAAACAACAAACATAGGAACGGGGAAAGTGACGTGCTAAGAGCCACACAAAGTTAGTGACAACAGTAGGACTAGAACCCAAAATTCCTGATTCTTATGTTTTCTCCCATATCTACCAACTATTCATGGGCACTTGGGCAAAATCATCTAACCCTTCTGGGCCTCTGTTTCCTCATTTGTTAAATGTTCAACCAGATAGTCTCTATATTCCCTTCTAATTCTGAACTCATGATCCTACTACTTATTCATGGCAGGAAATATGGACAGACAAGGTAAAGTAGGACAAAAACCTCTTGGGGCAAATAGCATTGAATTCCTGGACACATTGACTTTATAATACTCTAAGTGAACAGAATGTGTGTGGTAATGATCAGGCCCTACTCAGGAATGATACTCAGAAACACACATCGACTCTCTGAATTTATATTAGCATAAACCTGAGAAAGTCTCACAGATCATTTCAATTAATTGGCTTACAATCACAGTCTGGCACAAAGTTCATTGCAAATCAAGCTGCTAGAGACTGCATGGTACTCACCAAGTCTATTATGCCAATGTTATTCCAGCGTTGCATTATGGGGAGGAAAGAAATAAACATGGGGATTACCCAACAGCCTCCGAGCATCAGGGTAATGCGTAGTGGGGTCATCTTGTTCCTATAGACCAAAGGCTGGCAGCAGATGGCATAGTACCTACAGGGAGGGAATGAAGGTGGGGGGAAGGGGATTGGCACAATGGGAGGTAAAGAAAAGACAGGGAAATATAAATAAAGGAGAGGAAAAGATGAAAAGGGGAGAAAAGAGAAACAGACAGATTATCTTAGGATAATCATAGGATTTTAGAGAAGGAAGGTATTTCGGAACATAAAACATGAGAGCTAGGAAGGACTATAGAGATCATTGAGACTAATTCCATTATTTTATGAAAAGTGGGAGCTGAGGGACATGGGATTTTTATCCAAAGGCTCATGGAATCTTAGAGTTGGAAGGGAACTCAAAGGACATTTGGTTCAATCAGCACGTGAGTGGGAATTCTTTGTACAACTTCCTTAGGAACTGGGCACCCAGTCTGTCCTTGAAGACCTCTAATGATGGGGAAACTCCTAATGGCATACCCCATTCCACTGGACAGCTGGACAGCTCTGGCTGTTAGGAAGTTCTTCTTTATCTTGAGTTGAGGTCTTCCCCCTTACATCTCCCCACTTCCACTGCCCTTAGTTCAGTCCTTTGAAGCCAAGTGGAAGCAAGTTTATTTAATCTCTCTTCACTCAGCAATTCTTCAGGTACTGAGAGACAGTCATCATAGCTTCTATTCTCCAAGAGAAACATTCCTGTTTCCTTCAACTGATCCTCACAGGTTGTGGCTTCAAGTCTTCTCAGTATTCCCATCATGCTCCCTGGAAGGAGAGCTAGCTTGGGATCTGAGAAAGTCTAAAGACCTCAGAGATCATCTAGTTCAAGGTTATTAACCTGGGGGCTGTGAATTTGCTTTTAAAAATATTTTGATAAGTGTATTGCAATGTAGTTGGTTTTGTTTACAATTCTATAATTTTGACTTATGCATTTAAAAACATTATTCTGTGGAGTCCATAAAATTCATCAGACTGGCAAAGAGGTCCAGGCACAAAAAAGATTAAGGACCTCTGATCTAGTCCAACTCCCTCATCTTATATATGAAAGAACCAAGCCCCAGTTAAGTGACTCCCAAGGTCACATAGGTGGCAATAACAGAGCCAGGATTCACATTCAGATCACCTGACTCCAAACCCATAGTCCATTCCACTCTATTGTACTGCCTAGCCTGGTCCTTCCTAAAATGCAGCAACCTGAGTTGAACTCAGTCTTGCAGATGAGGTTGGACTTTGGTTGAGGACACTGAGAGCAATCATCTTTCTCGCTCTGGAACAGACAATGAACTTGGCCCTACAACTCACTACAACTAGCTACCAAGACTTGTTTCCTCTAACTGGCAAGATCCTGCTGGAGTTTCAAGTTAGTTTTCTATGGAAATTTTAGAAACAGATGCAGGGAGATATTAAATGGTCCTATTCTTGATCATCTCTTGTCATGTAAAAATTCGCCCCTTTAGATGAGTCATCTCAGTCTTTTTGCCACCTCCTCCTTTTTCCCTTTTCTCAAAGCATAACTAACATAACAAAGCCAACATTCTTTTGGGTGGTGGGGGAGATCGAGGGAGTAGGAGGGAGAGGCCATGTGAAAAAAGAGGGTCAACCTGTGAGGTGACATTTCTGATGAGATAAATTAATCTTTGGAGACTGCATAGCTCATGGACAAGAATCATCTGGGAAGAAGGAGAACAGGGAAGAGTTACCTGGCCCATCTGATATTCATTCTTCATTGACTAGGGATAGAGCAAAGGATTTTCAATCATTCAATACAAGGCATGGCAGAGAACTGGGATTTTAGAAAGCTACAGTGTTAATTTTTGCTCTTAATAGAGAAAAAAAGAGGTTTGAGGATCAGGTCACAGGGGAAAAGGGATGCAATTAGCCTGGTTAAGTAACGGTTAATGTCCCTTAGGCAACTGGCTGGGTCATATGTTCAGGCCCAAGGAAAACCAGGTAGATTTTAAATCCCTACTTATAGGTTTCCCTTTGGCCTCTGCTCAGCCCAATCTCCTACACCCTTTTTCAGGCATGGCCACAGTGCTGTACATGCCCAAATGGATGCCCTTGGCCAGCTAATCCCATATGGCACCAGAAGTGGTACATTCCAAGGTCTTGTAGCCTTGGACCTTAGTACACAGAATATAGACCGTCAGTGATAGGAAGAACTTTGGAATATAGATTATACAATGTCAGAGCTGAGGTGAGAAACCCTTAGAAGGTAAAATGCTGGAGCAGGAAGGAGATCTTAGAACATAGAATGTTCACTTTCAGTGCTGAGAAGTACCTTAGGACGTGGGACATAGAAAATTAGAATTGGAAGGGGCATTGGACTACAGACACAGAATGTCAGAGCCCAATAAATATATAGGTGAAATTGGCTCTGCAATGTCTGTGTGGGTTTGGCAATATTCTTTCATCTGAGTGGACAACATCCATCCTCCCTGTCTATAAAACTGAGGGAGGAGAACATTGGACCAAATGGAGGTTTTAATAACTGCAAGTTTAATTAAGTCAGAGGTGAAATATGGCATTTAAAATAAAATCTTCAATGACATTAATGGGAGTGCAGTGGGCAGAACAAAGGAAGTGATAATTCTCTCCACCTCTGCCCCCATCAGGCCACATCTGGAGGATGGATGACCTCTTAGATTTACCCCTTTTAAGAATAACCTTGACAAGCTGGCATGGGTCCAGAGGAAGCCATCTAGGACAGAGAGGGGATTTGTAACCATGCTGTACAAGGACTAGTTAAATGAACTAGAGATTTTGAGTCTGGGGCGAAAAAGAAAAGACAGAAACTGATGATCGTTGCTTGTAAGTATTTAAAGTGACAACACATGGGAGAGACAGTGGACTTGTTTTGCTTAGTGCAGAGAACATACCGAAAAGAAATTGGTGGGAGACTGAGGGGGGCAGATTTTGGTTAAAGAGTACAAGGTCCCGCTGCTGTCAAATAATCCTTTAGACTGCAAGCTCTTTGAGGGCAGGTGCTACCTTTCTTTTTATTTATTGCATCCCCAGCACTTAGCACAGTGCCTGGCACATAGTAGATGCTTAATGAATGTTTACTAGATTATTGGATTGGAAAAAAGTAGCAGACCTGGAGTGAGACCTCTAGCATTGTGACTAAATTTGGTATTCTTTTTACTAAGCTGTATTACCTCTCTTCAACTGTTCATTTTAAGTTAGTGCCATTGTATAATACCTCAATGTATTTAGAATAATAGAACTATAAAATGGTCAGATTTGAGAAGGACCTTAAAGCATATTATCATCAATGATGAGAAGAATGAGATAATACCAAGAATGACTCACATTTATGTAGTATTTTAAAGTTTGTGAAGTGGTTTACATGTATTGTCAAATTTAATCAAGCCTTGCCTGACCAGGAACCCTTTCTACATGGTCCCCTGGAGGGGTCATCCAGCCTCCAAGGGACTTCCACTTCTAGCATCAGAAGATGGGGGAGGAGATTTGTTCTCTTATTGTGATGCACAGCATCTTGGAAATCTGTGCCATAAGAGCTAAAAGCAACTTTAGCATGTACAGAATAAAATGTCTGAGCTAAAAGAGACCTTAGAGATCATCTAATGCAATCCTTTAATCTCACAGAGAAGGAAGTTAAGTCCCAGAAATGGGAAGAGACCTATCTCTTGATATATAATGAGTAAAAAAAAAAAAGTTTCGGTATGTGTGAGTTTGATCAGAATAGCCTCAAAGGAGTTTCAAGGAGCTCCAACCCTGAAGGGATGATTTTGGCCTGAGTATATGTATGAGGGGTGGGTAGGTAATGGCATAGGCAGTGAGAGATAGATGGTGGACCAAGGTTGGTCCCATTTGGCATTCAGCTAGAAGACTGCATCCCGTCATATTAAGGTTCTATTTTTAACTTTCCATCATGAGAGATCTTCCAATGGATGCTTGAAAACCATCTGCCCAGGATACTTTAGGCAGAGCTGGGGAACCTGTAGCCTCGAGGCCACATGTGGCCTTCTACGTCCTTGATGCAGCCTTTTGACTGAGTGCACGTGCTACAGAACAAACCTTTCTATTAAGGGGATTTGTTCTGTGAAGTTTGGATTCAGTCAAAGGGCCACACTTGAGGACCTTGAGAGCCATGTGTGGCCATGAGGCTGCAGGGTCCCCACCCCTGCTTTAGAGGGAATTCATGCTTAGGTGTGGGTTGAACTAGGTAGTCCCGGAAGTCCCTTCCAGCTCAGAGATGCTATGATTCTGCAACTAACTCTGACTCTACCACTCACTGCCCTTTGCCTCAGGGAGCCTCAGTCTCCCCATCTGTAAAATGTGGATACTAATGCTTACCCTTCTTTCTTCACAGGGACATTGGGATGAAAGTATATCAGTCATAGCATTCTGACTCTAAATTCAGTGTTCTTTTTAGGCACAAGAACTGAGGTCCCTTCTAACTCAGAAATGCTGTAATAGTAGTGCTAGAAAAATGTCAGCTACTATTCAGCTTTTCTAGGACATCTGGTCCTAACCCCATTCAATTTGACTTCTTAGCCACTACATTTCCAAAGAGAAGTGAATCATCAGGATAGTCAGTCCTTTAGTCAGTCAACAAGGATTTAATAAGGGCCTATTCAGTGCCAGAGACTGTATTAAGAGCTGCCTAGAAAAATAGAGTGTGTGTTGCTTGGCATAAGGCACTCACCGTGCACTTTGATCTGACCAGAAACTGAGCAGTGCAACCAAAATACTCTGAACTGAATCAGCAGATCCGAGTGGTCGACGCGACACAGGACAAAGCATTAGCTCTAGTGAGACACATTGGGTCCAAAACTCGACTTGATCAGCTTGGAGGACTCTGCTCACTTTGAAGCTCCTTTCTGTCACTGAGTCCTATGAGCTGAGGTCCTGGTTCTGCTGCTTGCTAAATACGCTAAGTTGGGGGAGTCTTTTAGGCTCTCAGAGTTTCAGTCTCCTCATCTGCAATTCTAGGGTGACATCATTTGCTCTACTTCTCTCTCAAATGGGTTTTGTGGGGAGAAAATTAGATAATTTCAAAGCATTTTAAGTGCAAACTATTATTAATATCTATTTTCCAAACATTGCCTTCCAATGTAGGAAATAGATCTTAAAAATTAACTTTTCAAGTACAAAAAGGGAGAAATAGCTAGTCAACAGCACATGTGAAAAGGACCTAGGGTTCTTAGTGGACCACAAGGTTAATACACATCAGGGCTGTGATATCGCAGGTTAAAAAAAGCTGACATGACATATGGCTGTACTAATGTTCTGGTCAGGAGAGTTGCCCTGTTCCTTCAACTTATCCTTATATGGCATGGTATTGAATCCCCTTCCATTGTGGTCACCCCCTCTGGATACTGTTCAACTTGTCAGCATCCTTCTTGAAATGTGTGTGCAGAACTGTGTGTGTACAATAACCACTTTGGGAGTTAAGCTTAAAAAGGGAAGGGAATAAACATTTACATAATACCTGCTATGTGCCAGGCACTGTGCTAAGTGCTTTTTGAATAAATATTATCTCATTTGATCTTTACAACAACTTTGCAACATAGGTCCAATTATTATCCTCATTTTATAATCGAGGAAATTGAGGCACAGAGATTAAATGACTTGTCCAGGGTCATATTGCTAGTAAGTGTCTGAGGCTGGATTTGAACTCAGGACTTCTGTCTCTAGGCCACATGCTCTATCTACTTTGACACCAGCTACCTCTGGATATTCTGTTTAAAATCATATTTAAAAAAAAAACCCAAGCAAAGCAAAACTCTCTTCTTACTCTCTGCATATCTAGAGAAAATTCTCTTCCCCTTCTGTGCCTCCATTTCCTCCCTGTGAAAAGACAGAGGATAACAGGACTATAATAGTTAATTTTCATGTAGAACTTAAAATATACAATTTTATTGATCCCCATAATAACACTTTGAGGTAAGTGCTATTATATTCCATTTTACAGATGAAGAAGCTGGGGTTCAGAGATGCTAAGTGATTTATCTAGGGTCACACAGCTGGTAAGTATCTGAAACAGGGATTGATTTCAGATCTTATAGGATCACTGATTTAGAGCTAAAAGAGACCTTAGAGGTCCATGAGTCTAGCCCCCTCATTTTACAGATGAAGAAACTGAGGCACAGAGAGGTTAAGTAACTTATCCAAGGTCACATAGTTACTAAGTATCCGAGATAGAGTTTGAACCCATTTCTTCCTGATTCCAAGTCAAGCGCTCTATCTCCTTTACAATTTTGCCGCTTATCTCTTCCCTAGTCCTGGACACTTTGCTTCCCTTAAGATGGTCTAAAATCACGTTGGCATTTTCTTTCAACATCTCAATAAAGTCATTACTGTACCTACTTTTCTCCAAATTAAATATTCCCATTTCCTGCTTGGCTTTGAGTTTCTTTGCCATCTTGGTCCTTTCTCATCCTAGTCACTAATGCAGCTTTTCAGCATTTTTCCTAAAACGCATCATCCAAATGAACAATGTCATTCCTCTTCCAACATTAAAATGCATAAGCTCATGATAAATATTCCTTAATAGAATCATAGGCTTTGGAGATGTTCCTTATTAGGCTCTTAGACTTCCCTCATTTGCATAACTAGACCTTAGAGATCTACTCTAGCCCAGTAAATTTACAGACAGATAAGGAAACAGGTTCAGAGAAGGACCGATGCCTTTCTCAAGTTTACTCAATAAATAAATGACAGACACAGGATTAGAACAGTGACTCTGAGTTCACACCAGTGCTCTTTCCACTATACCTGGATACTTTCTTCTGATACAGGGGGATGCCAGGGGAGAGCTAAAGAAACAATATTTAAGAATTTCACATTTACTTACACTATTACATTCGATAGTATGATAACTTTATATGTCTTTTGCAGTACAAATGATAGCCCTACAGAGTATGAGTAGAGGGCTGTTCGTGAGCTTCTATGACCAGAAACCCATCATCCCCTATTGGTGAGTCCTCTGGTGACAAGCCTCTGAACTTCGCTAGCTCGGTGTGTGGTAGACAGAACCACGGTGGGTCACTGGGTACCAACCCCAAGCTTTCTAAGCCCAGGCAGATTTGCCAGAATTTGTGGTAGATACACTGACATAACTTTTAGGGTCCTCTCCACACCATGAAGAAGCATTGCTAGAGGTGTGCACGCTGACATCTCAAGAGTCAAGATAGCTGAATCGGAGGAATCAAGGAATCCCGATTCAAAGGTTCCATAGAACAGGAACAGGCTCAGAGGGTGGCTCTATACATGAACCTATTCTTACCTGTCTAGTGAAATGCAGCACAGGTGGAATATTGAGGCTGTGGTGAGTAGAACATCTAGAGATGTTCGGACCAGGCAAAACATCTCGCCATAAATCCAGACATCTTGGACCAGCTCGATGGCACCGAAGGGCATGACCAGCACAGAGACAAGCAAATCCGCAAAGGCCAGGGAGACAATGAAATAATTTGTTTTGATTTTCCTGCGATGGGGGACAAAAGAAAGAATACTCTGTTTCATGGTTCAGTTTGGAAACCAAGGCACTGAGGAAGTTGTTGCAGGTTCGAGAAAGCCAGTCGTATTCAGGTCAACTCATAGGCTCACAGTGTGGCAGAGTTGGAAGAGACCTCATAGAGACTATCCAGTCCAGCTTCCGGGAAGGAAAATGATTTATCCTAGGTCACATAGACAATTAGAAGCAGACCTTAGATTTGAAAACTGATCCTGAGCCTGAAAATCCACAGCTTTTCTACTAAACCATCAATTCCATTCGATTCAATGCAATTCAACAAGTATTTAAGTGCATTATATGTGTAAAGAGACACAAAAATGAAAAAGACATATTCCCTCTCTTCACGGAGCTTACAATCTGACAGGGAGATACGACAAAACTGGGAAGGTGGCAGAGTCCCAGAGTCTGTCTCCATAACTGGATTCTTCTGGAGACAGCAGAAGAAAACAGTAGTTGGAACACCCCTGAAGTCAGGAGAAGCCAATTCTGCTACTGAATCCCTCATTATGGCCCTCAGTTTTTTTATCTGTAAAATAAGGGAGTTGGACTGGGTGATGACAAAATTCTCTGTCAGCTTTGAGGTTCTACGTTTGGTGTCTTAAAGGCCCATTTAGGCTCTAATAGTCTATGTTCTCCAATTTCTGAAGTTAACATGAGGGACTGGGTTGAAGGACACCAGTGCAAAAGGGATAGGAGAGGAGAGTTAGCATATGGTAAAACTTTTAACTCATTATGCTAGATATTTCCCTAAAATTTTTGAAAACTTCCCATTTTCCTGATTTCAGCCTATAGAACTTCCAGTTTTGATTCCAAGTGGGGAAAATAAATCAAATCTACTACAAGGTATATTCCAACATTCTGTGTTCTAAATTCTTTTCCAGTTCTGAAATTCCACATTCTATGTTCTAAGGTTCCTTCCAGGTCTGATATTTCATGCACTTTGCTTTAATAGTCTATGTTCCAATGAGATCTTCTATCGCAATCATCTTATGAATCAGTGATTCTATAAAAATCTATAAAAATTGTGGTCTCTGGACCCCCCACCAAAGCCATCATCCCCTCAACAGGAGATCATGTGAAACAAAATACCCAAGAAGGCTCACCTGAGTTGTCTGTCCCTGCACACAGCCACCATCACCAATAGGTTTCCCAGTATGGCCATTAGGATGACTGCAGAGAGAAAGATGAGCAGTCCAATCTTCTCTGCATACCTGAAACCCTCCCCAGAACTACAAACCACAGAAAAAAGAAAAGGGTTATTGAGCACAGAAATAATTCAAAAGTAAGAAGATATATCTTCATCTTCAATTTGTTTGAAATCACCTTTATTATCATTATCACCACTGGTGCCATAACCACTACCATCATCACTACTCTCAACACCACCACCACCACCACTAGCACATTATCATTAAGATCATTGTCCCACCATCGTCATCACCATTGCTACCACCACCACCATCATTACCATCATTATTACCACCACTTGTCATCAAGACCGTTACCATCAATATCATCACCATGACTACAACCACTGACATCATTACCACCAATCATTACTGTTACTACTATCATTATCATTTTTTTCATCACAATCATATCTTTAAAATTCTGGTGATAAAAACTTTTGCAAGATATTTATAAATAAAATTTATAGAAGTGTTGGGTTATTTTTTAAAAACAGTGACAGCATTTTGAAATCTCTGAGAATTTCTTATAACTGTAAAGTATCACAATTTCATCTGCTCAAAAACCCGTCATGTCTATTCTACAGCAGTGTTCTCTTTTTTTCTTGTTGATGTTAATGTGTTTATAAGACTTTGGCCTCAAAACTGGGGAATGAAAGCTTTGTGTATACCACTGGTCTTAAAAAAAGTCAAACAGTGTGAAATTTTTAATTTTTAGTTTGAGGCCCAGTCATTTGTAAAGTGTAAGCTTTGCAAAATTCAAGATGCACCATTTTGAAGGTCAAAGCTAGCCTTCCTGATTACTCATTGAGCTCTGAGTCATATCTTGTTAGTTACCAAAAACATTCAGTAGACATTATTTATAGAGAGCAGTCCATATTATCATTCAATTTTTTAAAAAGGATGATGTTCTCATAGGAAATTCAGAACCATTTTGTCCTATTAGACGTGGAAAATTTCACTATAGGACTGGTTAAAAGAATTGGGGATATTTAGCCTGGGAAGAGAAGACCAGTGGGGTCAAGTATGTGTAGAGCTATCAGGTGGAAGAATGATCAAATTTGTTCTAATTGGCTCTAAAAGGCAGAACTAGGAGTCTTGATGGAAGATAAAGGCAGATAGATAGTTAGCACAAGGGAGAAAATCCTAAGTATTGGATCTATCCCAAATTGGAATAGGCTGACTCAGGAGGCAATGAGTTCGTCACCACCTTCCTCATCACTCACATGAGGGGATAAGTTAGATGACCACTTTTCAGAGATGTCGTGGAAGAGATTCTGCTTCAGTCATGGGGTGGATTAAGTGGACACCACCAAATTTCCTTCCCACCTTGAGATCTGTTATTTCATCATCATCCCCAAAACATATTTATCATAGAGCCACAACATGCCAGGCCTCAGGTTATGTCCTAGCGATAACAAAGAGGTATAAGCATGCTCTTTGCCCTTAAGGAACTTATGGTCTATTAGCTAAATAACCCCCTTCCCCCCACAGACACACACATAAAGAAATTATTTGCATTACAGGGAAGTCTTTCCAAAGGACTAGATGAGAAGTGCAAAAGATAAGGAGAAAACAATTTCTGTGGGCTGGGGTAGAGTTGATATTTCCAGGAAATCTTCCTTGGGGAGGCAGGCATTGTAGTGTATAAAGTTATTCAAGAGCAGAGGAAGGATAAGGGTGCTCCAGGCAAGGAGAAATGTGTGAATAAAGGATTGGAGGTGAGAAAGGTTGTGGTATGTCATGAGAATGCATAAACACATTTTATTGGAAGACTGCCATTCATGTAGAGGTGTAATGGGAGAAAAGGTGTCACAGGCTTGGCACTGGATTGTAGAGGGCCTTGACCAACAAAACACGGAATTTATACTCTGGCAGAATATGGGGGCTGGTAAGGGTTTCTGAGCGGGGGGGTGGCATGGTCAGAGCTGCTCGTCAAGAATGTGACTCTAACAAGGAAAGCAAGAGAAATTGGAAGGGGAGAGACTGGAAATAAGGATACAGGTAAGAAGGCTGTTTCAGTAGTTCAGGTAAGAGGCAATGGAGTATTTGACTCAAGGGATAGTTATGGAGCTGCACCAAGAGCCTTGTATTAGAAACCAGGAGACCCAGGCTCTAGCGCTAGTGAAGTAGCTAGGTAGTACAGTAGAGTGAGCACTAGGCCTGGAGTTGGAAACACTTGAATTCAAATTCAGCCTTAGACACTTATTGGCTGTATGACCTTTGGCAAGTCACTTAACCTCTATTTCCCTCAGTTTTCTCTATTGTAAAATGAGAGTAATAGTAGCACCAATGTCGAAGGGTTGTTGTGAGGATCAAATGAGATAATAGTTGTAAAGCTTGTGCCCGGTACATAATATGTTGTTCACTCTTTGTGACCGCATTTGGGTTTTCTTGGCAAAGATACTAGAGTTATTTGCTATTTCCTTATACAGCTCTTTTTACCAGATGAGGAAACTGAGGCAAACAGCGTTAAGAGACTTGTCCAGATTTACACAGTTAGGAAGTCTCCGAGGCCAGATTTGAACTCAGGAATTCCAGGCTACAGGCCTGTTGCTCTATGCACTGTCACCTTGTTTCCCGTGGCACATAACATAGACATAATAATAATAATAAATAAGCATAATAAATGCTTTTTCCCTTCCCTTTCCTCTAGTCCTGGCCCTGGCTCTAACTTGCTGTGACTTGGAGGCATGGTAAGCCACCTATCCTCTCTAGTTTTCAGGTTCTCCCTCTTAAAAATAAAGACTTTAGACTAAATAGTCTTTAAGGTTCCTTACCACAGCAACAATCTTAAGTTCTATGTTCTAAGGGTTCTTCTAGCTATCACATTCTATGTTGCATATTCTCAGGCCCCTTCCAGCTCATTGTTGTATGTTCTAAGGTTCCTTCCAGTGCTAGCATTTTCTGTTTTTTATTCTATAGCTCTCTTCTAGATCTGGCATTCTATATTTTTTTATTCCAACTTGCTATCCAGCTCTGACATCCTATGTTCTGTTTAATATTTTATTTTCCCCCAATTACATGTAAAAACAATTTTTAACATTCATTTTTAAAACTTTGAATTCCAAATTCTCCCCCTTCTTCCTTCCCTACCCCCTTCATTGAGAAGGCAAGCAACTCAATATAGGTTATACATGTGTAATTATGCAAAACATATTTCCATGTTAGTCAAGAAAACAGACAAAAAAACTCAAGAAAAATGAAGAAGGTTAAGAAAAAGTATGCTTCAAACTGTATTCATACACCATCAGTTCTTTCTCTGGGGATGGATAGCATTTTTCATCATAAGTCCTTCAGAGTTGTCTTGGATCATTATATTGCTGAGAATATCTAAGTCATTCACAGCTGATCATCTTACAATATTGCTGTCACTTTACACACAGGGCATGTTACTTTTCATCAGTTTCTTGTAAGTCTCTCCAGGTTTTTCTGAGAGCTTCTTGCTCATCATTTCTTATAGCACAATAATATTGCATCACAGGGGCTGCTAGGTGGTACAGTGGATAGAGCACCGGCCCCGAAGTCAGGAGGGCCTGAGTTCAAATCCGGTCTCAGACCAAATACTTGATACTTACTAGCTGTGTGACCCTGGGCAAGTCACTTAACCCCAGTTGCCTAAAAATACAAACAAAACAAAACAAAAAAACCGAAAGTAATATTGCGTCACAATCACATACCACAGTTTGTTCAACCACTCCCCAATTGATGGGTATCCCCTCAATGTCCAATTCCCTGCCACCAGAAAAGAACTGCTATAAATATTTTTGTATATACAAGTCCTTCTACTTTTTGCTTTTTTATCTCTTTTTGAATGCAGACCTAATAGTGGTATTGCTAGGTCAAAGGGTATGTATGATTTTATAGCCCTTTGGGCATAGTTCCAAATTGCTCTACAGAATGGCTGAATCAGGTCACAACTCCACCAACAATGCATTAACACCTGATTTTCCCCACATCCTCTCCAACATCTTTTATTTTCCTTTTCTGACATCCTATATTCTGTGGCACCTTCTGGCTCTATGATTGTAAACATTACCAGGAATGGCAAGGAAGGCACAGATGGAGTTACAACATTCTTATGTCCTGGGTTGGAAAAGAACATTGCTATGTCCTGGTTTGGTCACCAGGAAGCAAGCTGACTTAAGTTCCTATGTTGGTAGATGTAATGATAAGAGCAGTGGGCTTAAATTCCTGTTCTGAAGTGCCAGCTGAACTATTAATGAGCCTGTGGGATGAGTAAGTCACAACCTCTCTGAGTTAACAGTTCCATTTTCAGCACCTTCTGGACCCAATAATTTCTTATATTTCATCCCTGACAGGGTTGTTGTAAGAATCAAATGGGATAATTGAGAGGAAAGGGATTTGTTACCATAAACCACTACACGAATGTGCCATTATTACCAATAACAATGAAATGGAAGAGACACACAGAGGAACAGCAGATCTCCCAGGGCTATTTCCCCAGTGGTGAAAATACTATGTCCCAGGCACAAGCTTTACAAATATTATCTCATTTGATCCTCCCAACAGCCCTTCAAGGTTGGTGCCATTATTAATCTCATTTTACAGTTGGGGAAACTGAGGCAAGTGGAAGTGGCTTTCTAACACTTCCTCCTTTCAAAGCAATCAGGTATGCAATTACCACAGAGTGGAACCAGACCAGAACACCAAACCAGGAGCCCTGCTTTCTTTTAGTTTTATTTATTGGCCTTAGAAAGCCCTAATGTGGGAGGGCGGCTAGTGACCTTGTCAGGGCTACTGGCAGTAGCTGCTCCCTCTTCACACCTGTATTTCTGCTACTTTTCTTCCCTGATTTCGGTAAGACTTTCAAGATGCACATTGACATGCTAAAGCAGGCCTGGAGAAGGAGGCTTCTCTCATTCTCAGTGGGAATCCCAGACATCTTCAGCAGCACCTTAGGTATGAAGAGACTCATTGCTGCCCTGCTGTCTTCAAATAAGGAAAGAACTGCCTTGAACTCTGTTGGGCATTCATGTCTTCAGTGCTAGAGTGTAGTTATTTCAAATACAGGAGGTCAG